CATGAAAAATATAGAAATCATTAATTGAATTGAAACGCGTATATTCATACGTGTGTGTGTATATATTTTTATGTATATGTAGATATTTAATTTGTATGAAGAGTTCCAATCATGGTAAAAAAATTGCTAATAAGTAATTCATAAGTCAAAAGAATTACTTACAAAAAAAAACTCACTTGTAAGTAAATCAAATTCTCGGAAGTTAAATAATCTCATATAAATATAAATTCACCAAGATTTTAACATTCAATTATATAATTAAATACATCACATGTGTTGCACATGCATCATAAGTGTTCTGTTAATAAAACACTTAATAATATAAATAACTTATAATATAAATTTAAATTTTTAAGCAATAAATATGGGTTTACTTTCGCCAGGGTATACTTCCATTAGTACAAAAGTAATTTTCTTTAAAGGAGACATTCAATGTAAATACATCTCTATCCCTTCTTTGTTAAGAGGCAATAGGCTTTTTTTTCTTTTCTTTTCTTTTTTTTTATTGCCTTATAAAGAACCAAAGAACGTTACAACAAAGTAAGATGGTACAACTAAGAAAACAATGATGCAACTCTAGGCAGTGAAAACCTGAGAGAAGTTGTAAGGCTACCACCTGCGAAGGATATAACTGAATGGCCTGCATTGGCTTGTTGTCAACAATGTGTAGATTTCGTCAACCACATAAATCTACTAGAAAGAACCCTAGCTGAGTTCTACAAGCCAGAGAAATATCTGACCAGGTCTACAAATCCTAAATACGAGTATAAATGGGTAGACTGAGTAAAAATCCTGAAACCCATTGATGTTTATGTTCCAAATATGTTGAGTAGTAGATCGAAATTGAACAAGGATCAATTTAATTGTATTCAACATTGGTGCAATGCAACCAATACCCACATTAACTTAATAGAGGGTGATTAAATACTATACATTAGATAATTTAAACCACATAATAAATTCAGCATTTCATGAACATTATGGAATAAATTAGTTGACTTAGAGTACGTATACTCACCCATTAATAAGCTTATAAATAATAAATTTAGATATAAGTAAAATTCCAACTTCAAGAAAAAACACAGTAATGGTAATAAGATCCTTACAGTAAAAAGTCAGAAATGATAAAAATATATTTATAAATTAAAACATTTACTTGTCAATTAAATTATTAGCAGTAAAAATTTTCCTTGTAAGTCCAAAAATTCGCATAGAAGTAAAATTTACTCTTACTAATAAATACCTAATTTTAAATATGTCAGAAGCTTACAAGTGAATTACACATGAACTGCAAGTGTTATACTGTAGGTGGAAAGGACAAATACTCTTGCTTTTCTTCCGATTGCAAATTATCTCATTCTTTAAATCCTTCAAGTCCTTGGCCTTGGCCTCGAAAGGAGTATTGATTGAGTTCAAATGCCAAATTCACATGTGTCGCACATGTGAATTGCATGTGCATTACATGCATCACAACCATCGCAAATCATCCTAGTGGAACTAAAGAGTGACGTATACTGACGAAAGATGTTGACTAAATGATGCGAACCCCGTAGCAATGGAAGCTATGAAACCCACAACTAGATTGATGCGGAACCCAAGAACACCAATACTAATCCGGTTTTGGATCTTGAACCCCAATAATCGAACCAAGAAACCTTAGATTAGCGAAGAATCTAAAACCCCTTGATTACAATCAATGAAACCCACAAACCGACGTCAAGAACGCCACAAGAAATCGATTCTTGATAAGTTCTAAGTTTGTCCAATGAAGAACAATCGATTGAAAGAAATTTTCTCTCTCTGTATTAATTTCAGCAAAAGTTTTTTTTACAAATGAAAAGAGTTTCCTATTTATACTATGGCATAAAAAACGTCCAAATTAATCAAAATATGGTAATATTTTGATTTCACAAGAGGTCTACCAACATTAGAAGATTCGGCAAAAATTAAAAAAAACGAATTTTTCCCACTTTTTGATCTATGCGGCCGCATAGATCTCTCCAGCCAGCCACATGTAGTTTCGGTGGCCTTCTATGCGGCCGCATAGGCCGTTGGGCCTGCGATCGCATAGACCAACTCCGTGCCGCCTTCGTCCGCTTTTATCTCGTTGATCCAAGTTCCTTCGGCCTTCGACCCCAACATGAAACTTGTTCCATTTGACCTCCCGAACATTGTTTCATCGATCGTTTGCTTGACAAGCAATCCCATCGCTTCTTTCACTCGCTTCATCCTCGATCGCGTCATCGGTCCACCTTCGACTATCAATGGATCCTTTCCGTAACTCGTCGCTTGACTCGTTTCGGTTGTGGACGTGCCTTGATTCATATCATCCCCTCCCTCTTCGAAAGGATTCATCCTCGAATCTGAACCTGCATCGAAAAGAGATAGATCAGCAACATTAAAAGTAGCTGAAACATTATACTCACCTGGTAAGTCCACTTTGTAGGCATTGTCGTTGATCTGCTCGATGACTTGAAACGGACCATCGCCTCTTGGTTGCAACTTCGACTTCCTCTGTTCTGGAAAGCACTCCTTTCTAAAATACACCCAGACCCAATCTCCAAGTTCAAATGTAACGCGTCTCCATCCTTTATTTGCTTTTGATGCAACCAGCTTTCCTTTCTCTTCGATCTGCATCCTGACCCTTTCATGGAGTGCTTTCACCATCTCTGCCTTGCGTTTCCCATCCGAGCTACCTCGTTCATGCACAGGTAAAGGTATTAAATCCATAGGTGTTAGTGGATTAAAACCATAAACAATCTCAAAAGGAGAAAATGAAGTAGTAGAATGTATGGCTCGATTATATGCAAACTCTATGAATGGTAAACACTCTTCCCATGATTTCAAATTTTTATTGATCACTGTCCTAAGAAATTGTGTCATAGTTCAATTTACCACCTCAGTTTGACCATCTGTTTGTGGGTGACAAGTTGTAGAAAACAATAACTTAGTTCCTAACTTACTCCACAAAACACGCCAAAAATGACTCAAAAATTTCACATCTCTATCTGACACTATACTCTTAGGTACTCCATGTAAACGTACTATTTCCTTAAAGAACAAGTCCGCAATATTAGTAGCATCGTCAGTTTTATGACATGGTATAAAGTGCGCCATTTTACTAAACCTATCGACCACTACAAATATTGAATCCCTACCCCTCTTTGTCCTAGGCAAACCTAACACAAAATCCATAGATATGTCTACCCATGGTTCACTAGGCACAGGCAAAGGAGTATACAATCCATGAGGTTGAACCTTAGACTTAGCCTTTTTACAAGTTATGTACTTTCCACATATTTACTCTACGTCAAGTCGCATTCTAGGCCAATAAAAATGTTCTCCTAATATATCTAAAGTCTTTTGAACCCCAAAGTGTCCCATTAAACCACCCCCATGTGCTTCCCTTACCAATAATTCACGCAAAGAACAATTAGGAATGCACAACTTATTTTCCTTAAAAAGATATCCTTCATGCCTATAGAATTTATCAAATGCACATTTGTCACATGAAGCATATATATTAGAAAAATCACTATCAGTTTCATACATGCTTTTAATATGCTCTAAACCAAGTAATCTAGTACTTAATGAATTTAAAAGCACGTACCTTCGAGACAATGCATCAGCAACTATGTTTTCATTACCTTGTTTGTACTTGATGACGTATGGAAAAGTCTCAATAAACTCCATCCATCTTGCATGTCTTTTGTTCAACTTACCTTGACCTCTCAAATGCTTCAAAGATTCATGATCGGTGTGTATCACGAATTCCTTTGACCATAAGTAGTGCTGCCAAGTCTCCAAATCTCGAACAAGTGAATACAACTCTTTGTCATATGTCGGATAGTTCAATGCTGCTCCACTCAACTTTTCACTAAAGTAAGCAATAAGCCTCCTTTCCTGCATTAATACTACTCCTATACCTATCCCTGATGCATCACATTCAACCTCGAATGTTTTATCAAAATTAGGTAATGCTAAAACAGGTGCTTTACATAGCTTATCCTTAATCACGTTAAATGCAACTTCCTGTGATTCTCCCGAATGGAAACCTACACTCTTCTTTACTATTTCAGTCAACGGTGTGATGATGGTGCTAAAATCTCTTACAAACCTCCTATAAAA